TCCTCACTCCTAGAGGAATGCTAAATATCACACAACTGGCCTCCCGGCCTCACACAACCCACCCATCCATGAAACTTCCACCAACCCTGCAGCACTAGTGTACGCTAGCCGTACATAACGCTGGACCCTATAGACTTTCGAATATCCAATCCTACCCTAAGCTCCCAATCAAACAAGAACAGAACATAAGGCCAAATCAAATATTCTCAGGCTATAAGATCTTAATCATGTACAGTCGTGATGCATACACTAAGCAACTACAATAATGATGTCAATTTCATATAAGGAAAACCCTAGGCTATCAGGCATCATATAATCAGGCAATTCTATCATGCAATTCCTGAAGATCCCTAGCCTAGTATTAGCATGTTGTTCTAATCATATCTCTTAACTCAAATAATCCGTAAGGTATTTTGGGGTCTATCCGCGAGCTCCGGCTGATCGTACACTTGCATCCTCCTTTTATTATTTTGAAAACATTTTAAGAAAATCGTTTTATAACCTTGTCCTCAGTTTGAGACTGGAGACACGCGAGTGTTTCCTCCAATTCACTCAAACCAAGGCTTTGATACCAACTTGTAACATCCATAAAATTCAAGCCAATTTAAAACTTTTTAAAACATTTAAAACCATTAAGTTATTACAGTTTACTTTCAAAATAATTTAAACATCAGAGTATCCCCAGAATGAATCATGAAAATGTAAGGAGGTGCACGATCACGCCTTCGCCTTCCCGCATTCATCAGAATACCTGAAACAATAATCGATAAATGTAAGCTCAAAGGCTTAGTGAGTTACCCCCAAAATACCAACGCCATACAGATATAATCATATCATATAATCATATAAGCAAACAACAACAACATGCATAATGAGCCATAAGTCTGACTGGACCGAATCCCGGTCCTCAGTCTATCTGGACCGCTCTCCGAGCCTTCGGCACGTCTGGACCGCCCTCCTCGGGGCCATCAGCTTATCCGGACCGCTCTCCGAGCCTTCGGCACGTCTGGACCGCCCTCCTCGGGGCCTTCAGCCTATCCGGACCGCTCATTGGGCCTTCGGCCTGACTAGATTTGCCCGGCCCGGGCCTGCAGTCTACCCGGTCCGCCCAGGGTGTCTTGGCCTACTGCACACAGCAGGACCTGCCTCAACCCTTTCCCCAAACCAACAAACATGTGCACATACATATAAATAAGTAAACATACAGATCTAACAAATCACTAACATGACAACCATCCTATAACCAGGGTACCGATCTAACCGATCTCTAGCATAGCAACCATCCTAGACCAGGATGAAATCTAACATAGCAACCATCCTAAACCAGGATGAAATCTAGCATAGCAATAACATAGCAACCATCCTATACCAGGATGTAATCTAACATAGCAATAACATAACGACCATCCTAACCCAGGATGTAAATCATAAAGGGCCGGCCTTGGTGCCTTAGACCCTGTTGATATAGTGAGGAGAACTCACTTGACACTGCTGAAGTCCCGCAGATAAAACTCCAGCTGTTGGTTGACAGATTCCCGAACTGGTGGCTCACGGTGGCGGCGGCAGCAAGGTTGGCGACAACAACAGCAAGGAAAAGAGCAACATCAGTGGTTATCGATGACAACCACCATGGCCGGTCGCCATGGTGGTTCTCCACAATCCATGTTCGACAAAGATCCCACTATTCATATGCCTCCATGTCGTAGGCCACGAATAACGGTCAGTACTACCCTCTCGATGGCGTTCAACGGACGGCAGCAACCTTCACGCAAGCATCCGACAGCAGGCGGCGGCGGCTGCTGTGTGACGAGTCCCAAAGTGCACGGTGGCAGAAGGAGAAGAAAGAAGGAGGATACGACGGTTCACCGCCTGATGGCAACGAAGTAACAGCGGCACAAGGTAGTGTCAGCAGCAGCGATCACAGCAACGGTTCTCCGATCCCTAACCGGTGCAGCTACCCTCGACAACCCTTGGTGGTCTCTCCCGGCTACGCACAACCACCGACGACGAATGATGGTGATGATTCGATGGTAAACAGCAGACGACGAGGCGGCGGCTAAGAAGGAGGATGGGATGGCGGCTGGTGCTTTGAGGCTTAGGGTTAGGGTTTGATACCCGGTTATGTTGAAGTTATATACCCGGTTCCAATAGATCTATCCCATAATGACACTTCCAGTCCCTCCCTTCTTATTCTTTCTCAAATTAAATCCAAATATTACCAATTGACCCCTCCTTCTGAAAATCCTTACAATTTAAGTCTAAAATGTTACCAAACACCCCTTGACTTCTAGAATCCTTTGCAAAATAAGTCCTGAAATTACACTTTAACCCCCGAAACTCTAAATCATAACATTTGGCTCCCCAAAAACCAACACCCCACTACATATTATTTGATTTTGGACTATAAAATATAAAATAATAATAAAAATTACTTCTCGGGGTTTCGGGTTTATTACTTAATTATTCTATTTTAATCGGGATGTTACACTATTTGTATGTATAACTAGTGAAAAACTTAGATCCAAAGCAATTAGGGTTGCATGGTCACATAGGAATGTAGATATGCTCAAAACCCATCAGTTGGATCAGTTATGAGAGGGGTAAAATGGTCTTTTACCCATTGGAAGGATTGTATATGGCTTGGACCTTGGATTTTGGGAAATTGCCTTAATTATTGATTAGGGATAATTTGGTTATGTTCAGTGTGAGGATTCCAGTAGCAACAGCTCGTGTGTTCGGTTATCTTGGATTGATGTGAGTCTACTCACTGTACCCGTAGGTCTAAGGCACCAATATCGACCTACTAGGTTCTGTTATGTTAGTTGTCTTTGTGACTCTTTCATGGTATGTTGGGCTAGGCCCATTGTATTACGAGCTAGGCCTATTTGTATGTCGGACTAGGCCCATAGATCAGGAAGGGCTTGGCCCAATGTATGTTATATAGGATGCTAGCTGTCTTTGTGACTCTTGCATTTATATGTTGGGCTGGGTCATTGTATGAGGGCTAGTCATATTGTGGTGGGTTGGGCCCAATGTGCGGGCTAGGCCCAATGATATGTACGGTATGTGGTATTTTGGGAAACTCACTAAACTTTGTGCTTATTGTTTTTATGGTTATGGTTTCAGGTACTTCCGGTTCGAAAGGGAAAGGCCCGACTTGATCGCAGCGCATCCAACCATGTTTCCGCAACTTGATGATTTTGGGATTGTACTCTGATAGTTGTTTTATTATGATATACTTTTGAATGTTGGAAAAAAGATAATTGGTGTTTCTGATTCAACTAAAAATGAAATTTTTACCTTACAATTTTTGGGTCGTTACAATCCCACTTCTCCAAGATGATCTTCTCTTCTTCCTTTCTCCTTCAAGGTCACCATAATACACTCAAAGGTTCACAAATGCACTCAAATGGATTAGGGTTTACAAAGTGGTCGAAATGGGGCTGGAGGTTGATGAAAGGAAGAAGATATGAGAGTTAAGGATATTTAAATATGGTCCAAACCCTAAATATTAGGGTTTGAGGATTTGGCACGTACGCCCAACGTATGTGTGCTCCGCCAGGAAATTACAAAAATGCCACTATGGGCAATTTTGCAACCATTCTCTCACACAAGGACTAAAATATAATTAACTCTCATTCATAGGGTTAAAAATGGAATACTTTAACATCAAGATGTTACATATAAAAAGTTGTTTCTTCTGATACAATCGACAAAATTAAAGAGAGGCATAAAATCAAACGCTTCTCGTGCTTCAAAAATTAGATGAGGAGAGAGAGAGAGAGAGAGGAGAGAGAGAGAGAGAGAGAGAGAGAGAGAGAGAGAGAGAGAAAGAGAAAAAACCTTCCACGTTCTCGATCTCCAGTGAAATCAAACACTTACTGAAGAGGAAAAGACGAAAAATCGATTTAGGGCTTCAATAAACATAATAATTTCCACCAAATTCCCACAATAAACATGATACCTGAATAAAGAAGACAGTCAACATAGTTCGTGGAAGGGGTTGATCGTTCATGGCGGGCATGCTGACGTTCGGAGAAGACGTAAAATCGAAGAATTTAATAACAATTTCGATTTGGTTTAGCTAGAGAAGAAGCAAAACAAAGAGAAAATCGAAAGTCATACAAAGGGAAATTACAAACGATGAAAGATCGAGAAATGCATTACCTGAAAGAAGAGACACAACACAGAGGAAGAAGACGACAACAACAGAGAAGAGGCAAATTGGATGAAGCGATGATTTGGTTGAAAACGGGGCAAGCTATGAGGAATAGGATGTAGAGAAGAAGACACATATCCTAGAAAGAGCAACCGATTTGTAATAGAGGAAAAACAGTGAAGCCGAACCCCAAAACCAGCAAACCACCATTGGAACAGTTTGGCTCGGCTGGAAACTTGCTACAGCTGACCAACCATGCCACTTTTAATAAGTATAATAATATTATCAAAACTTATTTAATAATAAAATATAGAAAGGTTGAAATTCGAGAACATAAAAAATTAACATGATAACAAATTAGTAACTCGTTTCAAAACCATAAAATTATAAGCATTATGTTTTATAATTGTGAGTTTATAACTATTCAAACTGTATTTTATAAACCGGTTTCAAGTCTTCAAGAACATCCAAATATCTTTTTTATCCAAAACTATAATTTTCATAAATTTAAATAGAAAATTAAAACCAAAAACATAACTACACAAAACTATCTATTTTATTCTTAAAACCAGCTATTCGAGAAAATATATATTTCATCATTTCAATATTTTCATGCATATAAAATAACAAATACGCTAACTGAATTATTATTATTATTTGAATAAAAATAATTATAAAAAAGATAATAGTTTAAATATTAAACTCATTACCATACCTAATCTGTTAGGTTTGTTTGGTCAAAACTTACAACAGAAAGGATTAATCACTAGGATTATGCAAAACAGAAAATAATCCTATTTGACCAAATCCCATGCTCATAGTATATAACCTACAAGTCAACCAAAGGCGTCGCCTTCAAAAGTTCAGATCACACCCCTCTTAATTCTCTCCCTCACCTCACACCATCTCTGTGACTCTAATCTCAACGGCTTCCCAGTTGCCAGTTGCCACCCTCCACTAATTTATTTCTTTATATATACCGATCGATTCTATTTCCTCCCAATATCCGCAATTAAGCACTCCATCACTCACTCTGTGTTTGGTTTCTGCTCCCTCAATTTTATCGACACATCTGCTTCCATTTCCTTCTTCAATGGATACACAAGGTCGTATGGAAGGCGATAACAGCGGCAACGGGAAGGTTCATTTCTGAATATAATTATGTTTTCGTTTTATTAATGTTTGGTTTAGTTTACGATTGATCGATCAATCTAGACGACATGTTTAGATTTTTTTTTTCGAACGATCGATCTCCATGATCGAAAAACGTAATCTGAACGATCAGTTACGAAGCATGTTTAAGAACTTTTATGTGATCTTCGATTAATCATATGATTTCACGAGATCTGAATTGAGTTCCAGTTTTCACGATTTGATCAACGACGATATCGACTTGAATCTGAACGATCGTTTGAGTTGCTTCTCGTGACTGTATGTATGTTCATGTGCCTTTAGCCTCAGGTGCCAGATCCGTATCTTCTCCAAAAGTGTAGGAGACCTAAAAGGCATTTTTTGTTTATAGTGAGGGGGTAAATTGCACATCATTTTGGGAAAAGATTTTCTGTGATTCATAGATAAAGCTGAAATTTTGCTAGGTTGATACACGTTTGGTAAAATGTTATACAAATAACATTCAAAGGTGAAACTTTTAAGTATTTTTAAAAAAACATTTTTTAACAAGTTTTGACAAGCTTATTCTTTTAACTTTATTGGTGCTTTGATTTGTTTATGAGCGATTCTTTATTCTTTATTATTATTACAAGTTTCGATTAGTAGTCGAATAATTTTTGAAAAATCAAATTATGTAAAACGTACTATTTATTAATCACTTTATATGAATGGCAAAAAATTATTGTATACCCTCCTCGTAATCAAATAAGGCACTCAATTACCAATATTTTTATTATTATTTTTGGTAACGAAATCTTTTTGCTAATTATATTGAACGTTGTTTTTAAACACTTATCATTAAAAAAAAAAAAAAAAAAAAAAAAAAAAAAAACCCTACAGTACTATAAACTTTCTGAAATATCAGGCCATAATAATTGTTACCATTTTGAACAAGATAAATCACTACACTTATAAATAAAGCTATTCATCATATTTAACCTAATAAATTTATCAGTTTTATCATATAATGTAAAACAATAAATAGCATTAAATGATTAATTTTTTATAAATATTTATTAACTTCATGCATCAAAAAGTTAAAAATACATTACTCTTCTCTTTCCAAAAAAAAAAAGTTAAAAATACATTACTCAATTGATCAAATAAGGAAGAGATCTTAAATATATTTTACATTTAAACCTTATAAGTTATAATCACCACACAAAAATCTTGCCATGCTAGAATGTTGTATCCACGTGATTTGAATATTATGCATCCTTTAAAGAAATGTTTGGCGTGACACAGGCTTTAACGTGCCCGAAATGATTTCCGTTCAATGCTTCTAATTTTCAACCCTTTTCTGATATATGCGAAATATGAATAACGAAAGTTTATTATAATAGTTACCTTTTCATTTCTTTCTTTTGTAATATACTAATATTATATATTTTTTAATAGATGTAGTCAATTAAAAATTGTCATCAGAATACGAAATTTATTAATAGAATAATTATTATGGATATTCATATTAAAATATTAAGAATAAAATACTTCAACAAACAAATAAACAAAAATGTCTCCATCTTCGTTTTTTTCCTTCGTTGTGAAGCCCTTTTTCTTTTTCTTTTTGCTTTTTTTTAATGTACTGATTATCTGTAACAGGTTGACAACAGAACTGCAAGAGAAAAAGCAATCGACGAATGGCTTCCGATTACTTCCTCAAGGAACGCGAAATGGTGGTACTCCGCCTTTCACAACGTCACCGCCATGGTTGGTGCCGGAGTTCTCGGTCTCCCATACGCCATGGCCCAACTTGGATGGTCAGTCCTCCAACTCTCGCCATACATCTTCTCTTTTCTCTTTCTCTCGCTAATCGGAGTTAGTTCAAATTACATGAAATTTCAGGGGTCCTGGAGTAGCTGTATTGGCCATATCATGGATTGTAACGCTATACACATTATGGCAAATGGTCGAAATGCACGAAATGGTTCCAGGGAAACGATTCGACAGATACCACGAGCTCGGCCAGCATGCATTCGGCGAAAAACTTGGTCTTTACATCGTGGTTCCGCAACAGTTGATCGTCGAAGTTGGCGTCAACATAGTCTACATGGTTACGGGAGGAACATCCCTCAAGAAATTCCACGATTTGGTTTGCAGTAACTGCAAGGAGATTAAACTGACCTACTTCATCATGATCTTTGCTTCTGTCCATTTCGTCCTTTCCCATCTCCCCAATTTCAATTCCATCTCCGGTGTTTCTCTGGCAGCAGCAGTCATGTCCCTCAGGTATGCACACAACATGTTCGTCGAAATGTCAAGTAAACGAAAACCAAAATTGACACTATTTACGTGATCTCATCCAGTTACTCTACGATCGCGTGGTCTGCTTCTGTGAAAAAGGGCGTTCAACCAGATGTTCAATACGGATACAAATCTAAGTCCGCTATAGGCACAATGTTCAGCTTCTTTAATGCATTGGGTACAATTGCTTTTGCATATGCTGGCCACAATGTGGTGTTGGAGATTCAAGCCACCATTCCTTCAACTCCTGAAAAGCCTTCTAAAGGTCCGATGTGGAAGGGCGTGGTGGTTGCTTACATAGTCGTGGCCTTGTGCTACTTTCCTGTTGCTCTTATTGGATATTGGATGTACGGAAATGCTGTCTCCGACAATATCTTAATCAGTTTAAATAAGCCCACCTGGCTCATCGCAATGGCAAATTTGTTCGTTGTTGTTCACGTTATTGGAAGCTACCAGGTTTGCATTTCTATGTCAGAAAAAAGAAATAGTTTACACTTCAGAAATATATTTTACAAGGGGTTTTTTGTAATTTATTTGTTGTTGTTCACGTGTAGATCTATGCCATCCCGGTATTTGACATGATCGAAACTGTGTTGGTCAAGAAACTAGACTTCAACCCTACTTTTATGCTTCGATTCATCACTAGGAATATTTATGTTGGTAAAGAAATTGCTTTACATAATGTTATGCAATTAATTGTTATACATTTTGATATAATACTAAATTTGTCCCTTGGTTGCAGCATTAACAATGTTCATTGGTATCTGCTTCCCATTCTTTGGTGGACTTTTGGGCTTCTTTGGGGGATTTGCATTTGCACCAACCACATATTTCGTAAGCAGCTGTTTATTTGTTTGTTGATTTGATTTATTTGCTCTATGGTATCTAATTAATTTGTTCTTAATGATTCAGTTACCTTGCATCATGTGGCTTACCATCTATAAGCCGAAGAAATGGAGCTTATCATGGATTACTAACTGGGTATGTAACCACAATATCTGCAAACACATTGTTCATTCTCTTACACTGCTAGACTAGACAAACTTTCTAGGACTATTTTTCAATTATGAGGATGATGATTTACTGTCTTTTGCACGAAAAGAAATGATAAATTGAATAGATTTTTTTGTCCCTCTTTTTGGGTGGGACAAAAGGTTGTAGTTTTTGTCCCATTGTCCAGTTTGTTTCATCTTTTCGGGTGGGACCGGTTCTCGTGCAAATGCAATACAACATGTTTTGTCTTGCGTAACAAACTGGCACTTGAAAACATTATCAGTGATTTTGATAATTATTTCAATTGACACTTGTCTGTGTGTCTTACTTTGCAGGTTGCTATTGTGTTTGGTGTTGCTTTGATGATAGTATCGCCTATTGGAGGCTTGAGGCAGATTATTATTGATGCCAAAACCTATGAATTTTTCTCTTAAGATGAAGGTGTTATTAGATTAAACAAGCTGAGATTTCCATTTTTAGAGAAGTCAAAGAGGCTTGTAAAGATATGGTTTCTTAATTTTTAGGTTTATCAAATATTTAGAGCAAAATAGTGAGCTTTCAAACCGCTTCCATTTGTTCATTCTACTCTAAAGTTAAGTTATTTGCATGTGCATAGCTATACATGTGTGTGTGGGTGTATGTGTTTATATATACATATATTTCCACTTTAATTTGTAGGTGTGGTATGCATGCTTCTTCGTGAAACTATGTTGGTGAAGAGAGTTTTATTAAATTATATAGTAAGTGAAAAAACTGTAACTTTCTATCTCGACCAATTCCTCTAAAATATGGATATGATCAATTCCTCTAAATGTAGAATGTGAAGGCAAACGCCAAGGCAAGGAGATCTATTATAATTTCACATGATGCCAAATGTGTATTAGAAAGATAGCAACTTTAGAAACCTTTATATGATTGCAAAGTTAAGTTGCTATGCCCCTATTTATCAATAACAGAAGTTTCCACTTCTGTATAACTTCCTTTATCTTGCACATGCTCATCCAACATCTTGCGTAATTTTAACAAGGAATCATAGTCAAGATCATCAATATCAACTTCAATTTCATCCTTGCCAGTTTCATTGCCCTTTGAAGCATGTTCCTTTAGAAAATCAACGATGCGATCTGGCAGATTTTCCAGATGAACTTCCAGATCCCTACTTAGATTATGCTTCCCTTCATCAGTCATCCCCATGGTAATTTTGCTCTTTTTAGATGGAGGCATCACCTTGGCAAAATCCATCTCTTCAACAACTTTGTCTTGTTGGGATTCATTCACAGGGATTTTCTTTTCAATGGGTTTCCACCTTTGCTCAAAAAACTTACTGAGGGCAACTGCCTTGACATGGACATGATTGCCTGGAGGGTTATATGTCATGGCGTTGGCGAAAGTAAGTCTTACATCAGCAAGGAAGTCCATTGGGCTTGAATATTTGTCTGATCCAAGTTTTTCTTTTATAGTCCCAAAATCCATGGGATTCTTGATCACATTAGTAATCTGGAATGTTGAATTCAATAATATCAACAGGTTTATTGAACACCCAACCATGTCGATGCAACATCAGCTTCTTCAACAAGTTCTCACACTGTTTCCTAAGAACCGGACTGAAAGTCCCCTTGTTCTTTGCACCTTGAGGTTGCATTCTTGAAGATGAAATTGTAACAGCATCAGCACTATGAAGGTCAAGTCTCTTATCAAGTGCCCTAACCTTGTCAAGCTCCATTGTCAACTGAAGTAACCATTTCTTCTTCTCAGCAAATGAAATCTTGTATAAAGGGACAACTTGCACCGGTAATGCATAGCGCAGCTTCATCCATTTCTTGCTGGTGGTACTTGAATCCCGGTGATCGGATATGTTCATGCTACCCTGCCCTGTCAACCCAGAACTACCTGCTCCGGTTGATTCAATGGTGGAATGAAATCCACCAGAATAAGCATCAGGAACTCTGCCCTTCTTTGTCATAATCCAAGTAAAACTTTACACCGAATTTACAATCAGTGTAAAGATTCTGTAATCAAAACCGATAACACTGTTCGTTTAACTCTAAACATAAACACAAGGAAAAGAAAGTACGTATTCGAATACTAATTCCCTCTACACTTAGAGCATTCGTCTCCTATTTGAATTGCTAAATGTTAGAAAATTTAAGCGTTTTGTTAGATTAATACTTTCGTTGGGGTTTTATACTGTGAGAAGGATAACGTATCACGTAATTGCTCTAAATCCAGAACGTTGATTTGCAAGAACGTTTGAGTCGTCGGTATAAACGACGCCTCTGAGGTATACCAGAATGACGTAAGCAATGACATAAGAAGCCATTAGACACATTATTGAAGACACGTGTCCTTTCGTTGTGGAAGGATGTATTTTATAATTTGTATATTATTTGTATTTGTTGGTATTTGTCATTGTCAGTAGATTAAGTGTCATATGTCGATAGGTTATATGTCACTATCGAATATGATGTCTAGTTTGTAGGATATGATTTAAAGTGTGTAACCCTCAATAGTCTAGGGGGCTATAATGTAAATAGGTTTGTCATATTGCAATCAAACGATTGCAGTTCTATTATTGTACTCGGCTCCTTTGAGCCTATAAATAGGGCATTTGCCCATATGAAATAAACAAGCTAAGTTTGAGTGTTTAAGATTTGAGTTGAGCTCAATCTTCTTCTGTTGAAATAGCTCGTCTATTTCTGAATAGCAGAACCCTATCCAAACATATCCATATATTCATATAAACATATCAAACCCAGACAATCAATTCATCGTCAATCCATTCCAACGCATCATTCAGGTATATTCTGTCTTATTTTTATTAATTCCGCCATGTCGTTAATTTTGGTATCAAAGCTACACACTTACGTTTTCATTTTGGTATCAGAGCTACACACTTACGTTTTCAATTTGGTATCAAAGCTAAGTAACGTTCTTATTATTCTTATTATCAGTTTGCATATTCAATCTATCGTTAATAAGAATATATGCATATGCAGCATCATAAACATGATAAACATCATAAACATGATAAGCATCATAAACATGATAAGCATCATAAACATGATAAACATCATAAACATGATAATGAATAACCATTGTTTTTAAATATTCATATTTAAAAAAAGTTATCAACAATTAAAATATTTATCGAAAGAAGATTTAATATCATAAATATGTCTCAAGATATTCTATTCAATTGTTATATTATTTCTCCATGATAATCTCATTCCGAGTTATTTTAACCATTAATTCTACAAAATTTGAAATTTTTATTAAAATAATACTCGTTCTTAATAATCAAATTAATCAAATTCATACTTGAAATATATATTTATGTCTAACAAAATTCTGATGAATTGTATTCCTAATAGAAATATTATTTTAAGAATACAACAAATCCAAGAATCTATAAATAATTCTAAGAAAAATCTCAAGGATTCTTACAAACCTAATAATCAAGGTACGATTTTAAACAGTAACCATATTCATGATGTTAGATATTTCATAAGAACTAGTATTAAAATCCGTTACAAGCAAATACGACGTCTAAAAACAAAACTATTTGTATTCTAAAACATATGTCTTTTAAACACTACTATTAAATAAATTTTAATCGTAACTTTAAATCTAAAACGAAACTAAACTATTATTATTATAAAATTATAATAATGAGTTTTTCAAGTCTAGATACAAATAAACAAGAATTAAAATTTTTTCGTAAAACATTGAAACAATCTAAAAAATTTCTTTTAGTCTTAAAAATAGATTCTGACATATCAATGATAAATTGTATATCTAATATTGAAGCAATACATATAATAAATAATAGTATAAATTGGAAACAAGAACAAATAAAAAATCTTGAAGATAAAATAACAAAATTAATTTGTTAAATATGATAGAAAAAACAACTACTTCACTAGAAAAAAGAAACTAAAAATTTTATATATGGAAACTTTACAAGAAAAAGTAGAAACACTAACTAAATTATTTGCAGCACTAGAAATTCCATCTGAAACGCAAGAAAATAATATAGAAATAGAAAATAATTCAGATGATAATGACGCAGAAGTAATATATGATTTTTCTTCAGATGATGAAAACCCTTATTCAAATCCATATAGAGATTCACAAAACAATTTTGGATTAAAACGAAAACAATCATATGTTGAAGATGATTATCAAAGTCAATATATTTATGGACCACCTTTATTAGAAGAAATTTTTTTATATAGACAAGGAATGGTTAAAAATAAACAAAACAAATGGGAAAAAATACCTCCTCAATACATACCTAAATTATTTACATTTCCAACAAATTCAGATATTCTTTTTATTGATTGTGACCAAAATCCTGAAGCAAAAATTCAAGAATGGAGTAATAAAATGGGAGTACAAATTCAGTTAACCGAAGAATTAAGAAATTTACACCCAAAACACTTTCTTAATTATATCATTCATAAAACACAAGGTAACGCATATCGTTTCCTTTCATCTCTTGATGAAACCGAAACAATGATGATAGCCACCACCGATGCTATGGAAACATTTAAAAATGTATTAAGCCGTCTTATTCAGGAATTCATAGGAAAACAAATTGAAGATAAAATCTCAAAAGAAGCTTTTCAATTAGAATCACTATGGCATTTAACTAATTTACGAATTTGTAATATGTGTTATTTAGAACCATTTATATGTGAATATTCTGAACATTATTATAATTTAGATTCCATTAGGAAAAAGGCAGCATTAGATATGTTTTATCAAAAATTACCATCATTAGTAAGCCAAAGTGTAATAAAAGATTTCCAAGAAGCATTATGAATGGAATGTTCTTCCATTCGGTTTAAAACAGGCACCAGCAATATATCAGCGATTCATGGATGAAACCTTAAATGGTTTAGATCATATTTGTCTTGCATATATTGATGATATAATTGTTTTTACAAAAGGAAACGAACAAACACACATTGATGCAGTCATCAAGGTTTTACAAAGAATTAAAGAGAAGGGTTTAGTTTTATCAAAAAAGAAATCAAAACTTTTTCAAACTACAGTTGAATATCTCGGTTTAAAAATTGGAGAAAATGGTCAATTATCGTTAACAGACAATATACGAGAAAAATTAAATATGTTTCCTAATAAACTTGAAAATAGAAAACAAATACAACGATTTCTTGGTTGTTTAAATTATATTGCAGAACAAGGATTTTTAAAAAATTTAGCAAAAGAAAGAAAAGTTTTACAAAAGAAAATATCAGAAAAAATACCTTGGTCTTGGACCAATACAGATACTATTTTAGTACAAAATATAAAACAAAACATTCAAGTTCTCCCTACTCTATATAATGCAAAAATAGATGATTTCTTAATCGTAGAAACAGATGCATCACAAGACACTTGGGCAGGATGCCTAAAAGCAATTATACGAGGAAAAGTATTATTGGGATTAGATAGTGAGGGAAACCTCATATCTAACTCATCAAAAGTATACAATGATAAAGCACACACTGGTATGAAAATACCATCTGAAGTAAACAATGATAAAGTATACAGTGATATGAAAATATCACCAAAAGCATACAGTGATATGAAAATATCACCAAAAGCATACATTGATACAGATGTATCATCTGAAGTATTAAAAACAGATAAATACGAGCAAAAACTATGCAAGTATATATCGGGAACATTTTCCCAAACAGAGCAAAATTACAGCACACATGAACGAGAAACACTAGCATGTCTCAGAACATTGAAAAAATGGAAAGTCGAGCTACTTCAAACCAGATTCGAATTACGCACAGATTCCAAGTATCTACTTGGCTTTTGGCGGTATAAGTTACAAGAAGATTACTGTCGAGGACGATTAATCCGGTGGCAATTACAATTACATCAATTTCATCCATATCTCAAGTATATCAAAAGCGCCAACAATCATATAGCAGACACATTGACAAGAGAATGGAAGCCATCATAGAGAAACAGTTAAAAACATTCCTACTCGATTATGAAAGAGGCACCATTCATGAAAGATTAACGTCAGCCATGACACAAGCAAACATTATTCAAAAAAACATGTCTTTTCGGAGGCGGGAGGAATGACGTAAGCAATGACATAAGAAGCCATTAGACACATTATTGAAGACACGTGTCCTTTCGTTGTGGAAGGATGTATTTTATAATTTGTATATTATTTGTATTTGTTGGTATTTGTCATTGTCAGTAGATTAAGTGTCATATGTCGATAGGTTATATGTCACTATCGAATATGATGTCTAGTTTGTAGGATATGATTTAAAGTGTGTAACCCTCAATAGTCTAGGGGGCTATAATGTAAATAGGTTTGTCATATTGCAATCAAACGATTGCAGTTCTATTATTGTACTCGGCTCATTTGAGCCTATAAATAGGGCATTTGCCCATATGAAATAAACAAGCTAAGTTTGAGTGTTTAAGATTTGAGTTGAGCTCAATCTTCTTCTGTTGAAATAGCTCGTCTATTTCTGAATAGCAGAACCCTATCCAAACATATCCATATATTCATATAAACATATCAAACCCAGACAATCAATTCATCGTCAATCCATTCCAACGCATCATTCAGGTATATTCTGTCTTATTTTTATTAATTCCGCCATGTCGTTAATTTTGGTATCAAAGCTACACACTTACGTTTTCATTTTGGTATCAGAGCTACACACTTACGTTTTCAATTTGGTATCAAAGCTAAGTAACGTTCTTATTATTCTTATTATCAGTTTGCATATTCAATCTATCGTTAATAAGAATATATGCATATGCAGCATCATAAACATGATAAACATCATAAACATGATAAGCATCATAAACATGATAAACATCATAAACATGATAATGAATAACCATTGTTTTTAAATATTCATATTAAAAAAGTTATCAACAATTAAAATATTTATCGAAAGAAGATTTAATATCATAAAT